TATCTCCAGTGACTGGAGATACACTTTTCCCAATTAATATATATTGAAAATCTGTGTAAAAGTTATAATTGTAAATATCTGTATATATGTGTGTATTATTGAATTAATAATTTCCATTTACCTCTTTTATGTTATCTTATTTAATTCTTTGTTAATATGGTTTAACTTGACCTCCCATAACTAAGAGTCTGATAGTATAAGATAAAGTTTGATAGTATAAGTCCTGATAGTATAAGGCAGTGTTTATAAACCCGGCCCGGCCATCGACCCGGCCGAGGTCAGGGGTCATGGAGTCACGGGTTCAACCGGGGGGTCACGGGGTCACTATGCTGACCCGATTTTATATATTAAAATATATATATATATCATATATAAAAATATTAAAAAAACAAACCACCAGTAATCAAAGATTCAAAATATACTTAACATAATTCACTAATTACCACCACAAGTTAATATTATACAACCTAATTAAAGTATCGAGATACCAAAGTACAAAACTCATATTCTAATAGGATCAATACGCAGACCTGGTTCTGCCTCTTTAGAGAAGGTCCCTAACAAAAGAAAATTTAAAGGAAGTAAGAATGAGTTTTTGTTTTCCATCGACGACCGTAACGATTTCATTTGAATAGATAAAATTCTTACCTTTTCTAGAAGATTCACATCTGCGAGGTGTGAGGATTGAAGACATATAGGTCGTTGGGAGAGAAGAGAACGATTAGATTTAGGTTTGCAAGCATTTTTGTTTTATTTTTTTAATAAAACGAAGTTGTTTAATGGAGTTTTTTTTTTAAAAAAAAAAAAAAACATGCAGTGACCCCTCTGACCCGGGAGTCAATGAAACCCGGCCAGGTTTTGGGGGTCGGAGGGGTCGATGTGCATATAGGGTCTAACTTGTGACCCCAACCCTCAGAGGGGAGGGGTCAGGGTTGAGGTTTTAAAACACTGGTATAAGGCTTAATTGTATAAGACCTGATTAAATTTTAATACTATCCAGCGTTTGGCATGATATTATATAAAATAATTTATTTTATAAGATAATATCATTCAATATTTGGTAATGCATTGTTTAATACTAGATAGGATAATAAATATTTTTGATAAAAATATTCTCTAATAAAAATTTTATATAATTTTTTCAAATATGTCATATGATATTAATTTTTGTAAGAATATATTGATCAGCGTGTCCAAAAAGTATATTAATTTTAAAAATAGAAATATACAATATTTTAAAAATTAATATTTGAAAAATTAATTTTTATTTTAATATATTAATATTAAAATAATATATTAATTCTTAAGAATTATATTGGTCAGCGATATTAATACAGTAATCTCTTATGAGGCCTAATTACACCCCTTAGGCCTACTTAAGTCATACATCATTTTAATGTATTAAGAAACTCGGCTGTATAAGCTTATACTATACGATGGTCACATTAAACAATTAAAAATATCATAACATATAATATAGACTTATACTATCAAGTCTTATACATCACATCAAATAGGCCCTTTCTTAACGAATTGGTAAGCGGTTGGATTTCAAAATAATGCATCCATATTAGGTTTTATTTTTTAAAAAAAAATTCTTAATGAATTTTCTTAATAATATTTTTAATTGTATAAAAAGGAATTATTGAATATTTTTAAGTTAAGATATTAAATATATTTTTTAATTTAATGCTTAATATTCAAAGTAATTAGAAGGATATAGGTGAATTTATAAATAAGTATATATATACTTCGTAAGCCTTTAATAATACCAGCTACCATTTTGATTTCAGCTATATCTCTCTATGCTTTTGCCCCTGCTGCAGGTATGCGGGATTCGTCTACTTGTCTCATATAAAGTTGCTGATTTCTGGTTCTGTGCTCTATAATATAAACAATAACATATATAGAAAGAGGGTTGACATAGTTGGTGGAATTCTATATTAACTGTGGTTTGGGTTCGGTTCTCAACTTTTTCTCATTGATACGTGATATGTAATCCTATTTTAAATTGATCCTCAATGAGATTGGTGGTCTTCTTAATCCTATTTTCTTGATCTTGCATAGGAGGATACCCTCCCCTAATCTAAATTTTTATGTACTAAAAAAAAAGAATAGGCTTAATTTGATTAAATTAACCCCTAAATTGATACACGTTTATATTTTATAGTATCAAGACAATAAATCAACTAAGTAATTCTTTACCAAATGATGATAGCTCGGTTGGTGTATAGGAGCAGAGTATGTGAGGGTGAGAGTATATGTTCGATCCTCCCCAGTAATATATTTGGAAAGGATTTAAAGTCTTAATCTTGGTTTCACCCCGAACTTCAAATTAGTCCACAGGAAACCTATGAGATTACTGGAGAGATAATCTCAACAACAACAACAACAAAAAGTAATTCTTTAAATATCTTTAACAAACTGGTGTTCAATGTAAGCCAGCTTTGCAAATGGTAGTCAAGGAAACTGAAAAGGAATTTTCAATAAAGGTGGAAGAATTTGTATTCATTATAATTGTACTGGCAAGGACCATGGTTGCTGCAACTTACAAAAAGATCTAGATTCATTAAAAAATTAAAGGACTTGGAATAAGAATATATATTCATATATATGATGAAAGGGTAAGGACTAAGGACCCTTATCATCACAGCAATATTATCAAGATTTTTTAAGACAATTATTGTAGACTTTATATATATTCAAAATTCCCAACATATGAGCCGTTATAAGAGGAAAGGAACTTCTAAATATTTAGCTTTGGTTTCGGCTTTTTTTGGAATAAACAGTATATACTGAGATCTACTTGCAAGATATTAACAAAGACATTCCCACAGGGGGGTGCAATTTCTCCAAGTTGCTATTATAAAGCCAAGTTGCTATTACACCACCACCGCCCTCTGAAATATGATGCTTGCTTAATCTTATAATATTTGGCCTCCAAATTAACACAAATATTTAGAAACTAGTTGTAAACTGTCTTTTTCGTACTAAAATCCAAACGAATATTAGTTGTCCTTTTCTTACTAAAAGCATAAAACCAGCATAAACTAGTTGTTACTAGCCACACGCACCCACAATATGTATGACATGGAACAGATATTAGTGGCGTAAGATTAAAAAAAAAAAATATATATATATATATAGAGAGAGAGAGGGGGGGTAGGATCCTTTGACACCAGTGTCAAATTTGAAGTTTGACACCTCATCTGAGAGCCGTTAGATCGAAAAAAAATCAATGGTATCACATGCTTACAAATCAGAGTCGTTGATTTTTTTCGATCTAACGGCTCTCAGAACCAGTGTCAAACTTCAAATTTGACACCGGTGTCAAAGGATCCTACCTCATATATATATATAGGGTTCGCTTTTTCTGCAATCACTGCAGATAAGTTATATGCAGTAACTCAATACGATATCGTTTTGGAGCGGAAATTATGGTGTTTTGATAATTTTAATTTATTTCAGGGTTATTATAGTCTTTATAATTATAATTTTTTAATTTTTTTAATCCCAAAACGACGTCATTTTAAGAATAAATGCAGATAACTTATCTGCAATAACTGCAGAAATATTTTTCTGATATATATATGGGGTAGGTTCTTTTTACACCAATGTAAGACTAACACCACATCTCAACCATTGATAGACGAAAATCATCAGTTGGTATTTGTAGTATAATTAATTATTAATTAATATTAATTAATTCGTATGACTTCTTAAATTATAACCGTTGAATGTACGGAAATCAACCGTTGAGATGTGGTGTAAGACTTATTAGTCTTACATCGATGTAAAATGATTCTGACTCTATATATATATATATATATATATATATATATATATATATATATATATATATAGAGTTATATTTACAAATTTTTTGTTTACAAACTACATTATGTACTCTCGTGAGAACACTAGGTTACATTATGTTCTCCTGGAAGTACATAGTGTAATTTGCAAAAATTTGTAAGTTTATAAATGGATCCTTCTCTACATATATATATATATATATATATATATATATATATATATATATAGAGAGGCAGGATCCTTTGACACCGGTGTCAAAGAAAAAGTTTGACACCTCATATGAGAGCCGTTAGATTAAAAAAAATCAACGATTCTGATTTGTAAGCATGTGACACCATTGATTTTTTTTAATCTAACAGCTCTCAGATGAGGTGTCAAACTTTTTTTTTGACACCGGTGTCAAAGGATCCTGTCTCATATATATATATATATATATATATATATATATATATATATATATATATATATATATATATATATATATATTATAGAGGCAGGATATTCTTACACTGGTGTAAGAGTTAGAAGTCTTACTCTCAATCTTGATCATTGATCCACTTGTATCTAATGGCTCACATTACTAAAAAATTTGAGCCTTTAGGTAAAAATGGGATTGACGGACAAGATTAAGAGTATAACTTACACTGGTGTAAAATGATCCTGACCCTATATTATAAAACTAAAGAAAGGGCAAATATTGGAAAATAAGCAACTGCAAGTTTGCAATTGTTATGCTATTGATGCTAGTCTGAAGAATATTAATGTCGACCATATATATAATACTGTACGTACCAAGAAATGACAAGCTATATCAAGAAGGCATCTGACCTTTGCATGCAATGACCAAGAGTGATATTTTGTAAAGGGACAAAATTATAAGTGTAATATTTTTTTAAATTATAAATATCTATATGATCAAAAACAGTATAATTAAATAACGCTCATAACTAAAGACTTGTGTAAATTAGAAGGGGACAATTGTCCTCCCTAACTCCTCTGTTGCTCCACCACTGCATGCAAGTGGATGAATGAATGTTGTAAAGAAGCATTGAATATATTCTTAAACAGAAAAACTAAATCACTAAGATTTTCGAGATTAATCAACATGGTGGCTACGTATGTACATTAATATCAAACTACCCTCACGTCTTCTCCTTATAAAAGGAGCACCACCAGTACTCTGCATGCATAACTCGAACTTCCTCACCATATGCTTTCTATTCTTAAACATTTTAGTTAATTTTTCTCTGCCTTTATATACGCTCTATCTCTATACCATTACCTATATATATATATATATATTAATTATAAATTCAATGTCTTCATCTGGTACATGGAGTGCTCAAGAGGATAAAGCTTTTGAAAGGGCTCTAGCTGTTTATGACAAGGATACCCCTGACCGTTGGTGCAATGTTGCAAGGGCTGTTGGTGGAAAATCTCCTGAAGAAGTGAAGAGCCACTATGAGCACCTTGTTGAGGACGTTAAGCGTATTGAGTCAGGACAAGTTCCCTTCCCTATCTACAAGAATCCCAAAGCAGCATGATCGATGTCTTTTATTTCCTCCCCCTCAATTTGCATCCTCTCTTCGGATTAGCTTATTTTGATATTAAAAACAAAAAACTATGGTTAAATTAATGCTTTTTAAGTAATCACGAGAAAATTACAAAATATGCATTTAAGTAACTTTAGTTTATGTAACTTTCAGAAAATATTTTTTTTTTGTTTGATTACTTTAAAAAAATGTGAAAATGATATAATAGAAATAAATAATATATGAATATGGTTGTATCGATCAAAATCAGTTGCTTCATGTTACTACCACGTACGTACAGATAAAGCATGCAATATATAAATAAAATATGAAGCTTGTGGCGTTACGTGTGATATCTACATGAAGCATGGTGTATTTGTCGTTCACAATATATCCTATGATTTCAAGTTGTACTTTTCTGGCCTTCTAGCTCCCGAGGACAAACATCATACCTATATGTTTGTTATGTTGCTATTCTCAATAAAATCGTATTGTTATATTATTGGTAAATTAGATATATATAGACAAATTAATACCTTCAGCTTCATATTTAGGCAAGGACTACCAAGTTGCAAACGTGTAGAAACTTCGAAAGATGCTATCCAAAAAAAAAAAAAAAACTTCGAAAGATATTCATTTACAAAAATATTTTATAATTAATTAGCAATTCAGTAGAGAAATCAAATATTAATAGATATGTACATTATACTTGACACAACTTATAAAATGTTTCTACAGGGAGTTTGGAATCTTCGATTCTCTCTGGATTTCACCATAAAAATACTAATTACACCTTTTCATATTATTACTAAAAATATTTATGACAGAGATATACTATATTCACTTCAAAATAATTATCACTTTATAAGTTTTAATTTATTTTAAATTATATATTATTTAAAAAAATCAAGAAGACATTATTTTTTTTTAATTTATCTTTAATTTTAGTATATCCATTAAATAAATTGAGATCGAGAGCATTAATAAAGTGAGAGGATTATAAATAAATAAAATTATAATTTTCTAAAACTGAAAGTATTTAATGATTTTCTTAATTTTTGTGCAAAACCCTCCAAATATATTTCTCCTTCCATTTTAAAATAATTGACGTTTAAGATTTTATATAAGGATTAAGAAAGTTACTGAATATAAGATTTTTTTAATAATGACTGAATATATATAAGAATTTTATACATACACACACACACAAATATATATATATATATATATATATATATATATTTTATTTTTTATTTTTTTATTTTATTTTGGTATATATATATATATTATTTATTTATTTATATGTATATACAACTAATTAGTGGAATTAAGTCTACTTTTATCTAATATACGATAAAACTGAAATATTTTGTTCATTTATAGAAATATGTTTTTTGTAATTTTTCTTAGGGAAAAATTCATACCCCCCTTAATTTACTCTTTTATTATAACTTACACCCCTATTTTTTTCTTATTAATTACCCCATATGATTTTCTTACATCCAAGTCACGCTGTTAGTAATTGAGCTAATTTGCTTATTTTATCCTTATTTTACTTGTTAATTAATTTGATATAAAAATTTTAGATACCAGCAGTAAATAAGCGAAGTTTAAGTTCATTATAAAGACATGAAGAACAATCATATATCCTGTCTCTTTTAAAGGTGTCACAAAATGGACAGAACATCAATAAAAAACAAAAATCACAAAAAAGATTAACATTTAAAATTTTGAATGTAATCACTTCTAAACAAAGGGATCTTTCTTTTATTATTCTTGAGTCAATCCCCCATTGTTTGACAAACATCTATCGTTTTATTCTTTTTATGTTACCATAACAATATTATTTTCACGTCACTTATATTATTTTCTTATAATTTTTTACTACATTTTTAGGTAATAATGTTGATATATATATATATATATATATCAACATTTTTTTATTTTTGAATATAAAAAAGTATAAGGAATCAATAAAAAAATATGGTATATAGAAATCGTTTCTTATTAGAATATAATTAATATTAATATTAAATTGTATAGATAAGAGGAGAAAAATAAGAGGCATTAATTTGCATATTGATGTTGTGGCTAATTCTCTTTGACCTTATTTTTTTGTGGTTAATGTGATTTCCTTCATTTTGTCATATATAGTGTGAAATTTTTCCGGGCCCCCCATTTCAACAACTATTGTTCTCTTATCTATTACGTGTTGTTTTTTCTAGTTATAATCAAGTAGACTTTGCCACCACTTTTATTTTTAGGGTTAGATTTTATTTTTGATAAACAAAATTTCAAATATAAAATAAGGGTAAAATGTACAAGTTAATTTAATTACTAATAATGTTAAAAATGGACTTAGATGTAAAAAAAACACGAGATAATTGATAAGAAAAAAAAGTATACGAATATAAGTGTTAAAAGAATAAAGCAATGGGGGTTATGAAATTTTCCTTTTTTCGTATGTGAATATAGTTTTATGAATTTCTTCTGCACACAAGATGACATTATTCACGAGTCTAGGAATATGTTGGTAACGAGTTTATGCGCGTTTTCATCTTGCGGAAAATTTGTTTATTATATTTTTAATATAATTTTTATATGGAATATCCGAATATATCCTAATTTATAAGGATTCCAATAAAAATTAAATCCAATAATAATACAGTTATTAATTAAGGAATATGATAATGTGACAACCAAATAATGTTACTACTAATATTACTACCACATCTTAACCTTTGATTTCCGTCAATAAACAGTTATCATTTTTCAAATCAAACTCATTAATTAATTATTAATTCGCAATAAATGATAATCGTTGATTGACGGAAATCAACGGTTAAGATGTAGTAATAACATTGATAGTAACATCATTTGGTTGTCACAATATCCTATCTCATTAATTAATGCGAAAATAAATACAAATTTTGGTTTGTAAATAAAACAACTGTAATTCATTCAGCAAGTTACAATCAATGTAAAAGAATCGAAAATTTCCTAAAAAAAAAAAAACATTTATTGTGTATTTGGGAACCAACAGTTAATAAAAAATTTAGATGTAATTATAAGGGAGATTGAAGAAATGCATCTTATTGGTAGTGAGTTTCCTCTTGGGATTTTGCCTTGCCCCGAAGTATCTCACCGAAATGTCCTAGCATAATGCGCCTGAATCTTGTGTCCTCTGCTGGTGTTTGTGATGTAACAGCCTTAGGGGACTCAACTCTCTCTGATGATGGTTCTGTGGTGTCTTTCTTTCCACGCAAGCCACCTTCACCAAAGAAGTTGCTGACTGTTGATGCAAGCGCAAGATGAGGACCCGTTACCTTACTTGCACTCCCAAAACTTTCCCTTGATCTTTCCTTCATAATAATTTCAAGGGCTTCTTTGTGCGCTGGATCCATTGCATCCGAGTCTTTTAAGAGGTTCCTTATAGCAGGCAGGAGTAAGTCACGAACACTATTTTCCGGAAGATCTGTAAAGAGACAACTGAGAATTAATAATACTTTATTTTTATGAACCATGGTGGAAAAAGAAAAGACATTTTCAACAATTAAATGAAAAACAATTTTCCAAAATAAAATAACCACTTTATTTAACAAGAGTTAGGATTGTGTTCTTCAAAACGTGGAGGTTATCCAAGTGAACACAAGCTCATTTTACTAACGAAATTCCTGCATAACAGCTAATAATTGGTATAGAGAAAGCTACCAATCTGGCAGCTGCAGGTGTAAATACATTAAATCTAAACTCTAGAGACTGGCAATAGTACACAGGATCTCCATGGTACATGTTACCAGTATCCCTGATGAACTATAGTAATATTAATAATATTTAATAAGGTTATTTTTTAAGCATTACTCGAAGAATTTAATTGGTACACTCTATTAGTACGTGACACTAACATCATATAATATATTGCCATTTCGTTATAAAATACCATCTCATTTTCTAATTAGTTAAAATAAAAATATTTCTACCGAAAAAAATAATAGTAATAAATAATGATGTGACAGAATATTAGTGTCGCTACATATAATTAAATTCTTATGCAGATATCCAAGATAAATAAGATGGTCAAAGATAAGTTTCAAAGAAATCTTCCTGAGGCAACATACATGTGAAATCAATTGTAGATTTTTTACAAGTTTACAACCTTACATGAACACCAGAAAAATACCTTGAGAAGGGTGTGGAGGGGCAAGATAGAATATTTTAATTGAGCAAACCTGTGGCATCCAGAACACGGATTGCCTCACAAAATGCTTTAGCTCTTTCTCGCCGACGCACCAAATCACTTGAAGCAGCAGTTGGCACGGATGAAAGTTGAGAAATCTTGGACAAAAGATGTAAATCAAGGTTAAGAAACAAACGGCACAATTTAAAAGACCTTGAAAGCCAACAGAAAATGCAAATGACTTAAGAAAATGAGCGATAATGTCAAGACATTAAGCACATTTCCGAACATTTTCTTTTCCACAAATAAAAGTTAAGGATATAATCCCTAAGCTGTTCTGTTGTATGTGGTACCGCAGCCACCAACGCATGAATGACAGCAATAGTAGCTTCATGCGATCCATCTTCAAGAAAAGCACCCATTTGAACACGTATCTTGTCAACGATCTGCAAGATATCATATTTGGTCAGGAGTTTGAAATGTGCAGCAACAACAACTTTATATCAACAGAAAACAAGGTTATATACTAGCAACAGATACCATATCATTTTTAAAGTGTTGAGCCACTGCACCAAATGCATCAATGCTAGCACACTTCACATTAAGGTTTTGGTCGGATCCAAGAGTAACTAGGGCAGGCAAAGCATGAGTTGAAGCAACCTTTGCATCAACATATGGCACCTATTATTGAAGACCTCTATGTTACCTCTAGCATTTATATGAGATCCAGCAAGAAACTAAGAAAAAGAGTACACTTACAATAACTTTCAGAAGCTTGGCGGCACTTATTTTCATGTCCTCGTTAGAGCTCAGAACCATTTCCCACATTATAATAAATGTCATACTATGGTTTTCTTCATATATGCTGCATTATAAAGAAAGCTCATGATTCATATTGGCAAAAATACTACCAATTTCAAAAGTATAAATATAATATAGGTTGAATATACAAACCAAATGAAGCGCACAGCATTAATAATCTCAGGAGGGTGCTTGGTTAACGGATTCTCCTTGGAATTGTCTTCTAGTAGTAGCAGCTTTCTCAAGTACTTTTCTAATTGTTTGCGTTTTCCATGAGCACCCAGAACACCAGCCAACACAAGTGGTAGGACACACAACGTAGAGAGCCTCTCAGCAACATCAGATCTTGGTCTCAAACCTAAAAGGCGAACCGTCATATATAAAGCAATTACATAAAAATTTCACAGAACAATTGAAGAACCGTTACCTTTAATTCTCGAATGAATGGCACTAGGGAAAAATGTCAAATCAGCATCATCCCCAACTGCTGTTAAAAATACAGGTAGCATTATGCATGTCACATAGGAATCCCCAAACCTTTCGGAAACAGATATTAGAAACTGCAATTACATAACTTCGATCAGAAATTACTTCAATTGCGTGTGCTCTTGAACACACACACTCATATATATAAACCAGAAAAGGTAGACAAGTGTGACCTTTGAAATTCGGTTCCGTAAATTATCTTCTTTCCATGGTAACAAACAAGTCAGCTGTATCAATTTAGGAAAGCACTCAACATGCATCCATTCAAATGCATCCCATTCAACATTTCCCCTAGCAAAAGTGGAAACCATTCAAGATCAGGAGCAGTTTTGACACTGCAGTCAATACCAGTTTGTGTTTGTGTTTATGCATGTCTGCAATGCATATACTTCACAACATGAGTCAAGCATACAAAGCTAGTCGGTTATGGACAAAAGACCTGACCAGCCACCTATTCGTCAATTCACTCTCCCCTCTTTCCCCCATCTTCCAATCAGACACTCATAGGTGGAAGGATGTGACATTCAAAACCCAAAGGTCAGTTGCATCAATTCTTTTACAGGTCCTATTGTTATTATTTCGAAGTGAACATTTCGTGCCAAGCTTACCTTGCATACAATTCAAGTAATGTAGTTGATAACACAAGTTGCGTAGTTTCTATGCTAGACGAGAAGGGACATGTCTCAATTGATTTCTGGTGCACCAAAGGAAGCAATTCCCCCAGCGTTCTCAATAGAACATCTATATTCCAGCGCTCTCTTTCACCCAATACATGTAGATGTGACTCCACACACCCTTCAACTACAGAAAGAGGTGGACAATGCTGCAATTTGGGGGACGAAATTCCACTCAGAAATAATTGACAAGGATGAAGTTCTCAGTCACAAGGGACAAAGAAAAACAGATACCTGAGCAGAGCTCAAAATATGAGAGAGTAAAACTATCAAAACGTGGTCTAATTTGCTTCCCCACTTTATAACTGCAGGAACCAATTCCTTGAGAGTAGTTTCCACCACCACTCCTGAGGGATCACATATCAATTGGAACATCAGCTCCTCCACCTAACAACAAATAAAACAAACAATTGGAGCAACTCTTTATCCTTATTCCTTTTATTTTATTTTTTCCTTAAAAAAAGAGTTTTCATTTTATGTATGGCAAGGGGAAAAGCCCCATTCCCTAGACTGTCTTGTCAACCTGTTCCAGAGCTTACACTGCAGCCAATTCTCTCAAGTCAGAAATCTTCTCCATGATTGCCTCGAAGCATATATAGTGAAGCTGACCTTGAAATATTTATCCATATTTAGGAAAAGTGGAAGCAGCATAGCCAAATTTCGAGCCGCAGCCTCTCGAACAATAGTGGCAGAATCTTCTATTAGTTGTTGCACAATTGATAAGATAAGTGAATCACGAATCTCAGGCCGTACAAATTCTGCAAGCTCTCCACATGATTGAGCAACGAGCAGTCTCCGCTCCTCGTACATGTGATTTATCTAAAATCCATAGCATGAAAAAACTGAATACCTGGTTCCTAAGTCAGAATGGCAAAGAGTAAGTCGAAAATTAAGGCAAGAATATACTTGTTCCCAACATTGAGGAAGCAATTCTGTTTCTGTTCTCATCTCGCCAACATTCTTTGCAAGGTTGACACATGCCTGAAATGTTCAAAGTTGCATTAAAACTAGTGTCTTTCGACAAACTTAAGAAACCAATATAACTTACATCCATTATAATTCGTCTCTGTTGCTCATCAGGACGCTTTATTAAGTTAAATAATGTGTGGGTCAAAGAATCCCGAGTCCTGCTGTCTGGGTGGTGCTCAATGGCACACATCATCAGAGGAAGGAGCTCCTGCAACCAAACAACACTAATGCAAAATATATTGTACATTGTACCAATGTAAATAAAATTAGCGAGTAGCAAACCTCACGATGGTTGATCAAGACGTAAGGAACAATATTAGGCAAAGCGTCTGCAAGTATCTGAATGGTTCCTAATCCCTGTCAAATGATAAATATACATAAGAAAAAAATTTAATAAATTACATCATGATGTAGACAAAGACAAATCTCTTTCATTTAAAAGCTCGTTACTCTCACACACAAGCACTGCTTTACCGGCAACAAACACCCGGGCAAATACTGCTAGCTTACCATTTTTAACCCAAGAGCAAGCCCTGACCATTCAGTTTCACTAAATTCAGTAAGAGTTTAATTTTTATCCACCATCAATGCAGCATCCATATCATTAAAAGAATTTGATTTTTCACAGAGTTGTTACTTGTTATCATAATCAAACTCTTAAGATTGTTGGAACACATGATTTGATGATAATGGAAAAAAGATAAAGCTAGACAGGCAACTAGAAATCAAAAAGTAATGATATTTGAGGATTTCCTCAAGCAAGAGTAGAATGGACTTGCCGTCTTCTCAGATATTGCTTCATCATTTACCCCGCCTGGTTTTATATGTAACCTGCTATCCCCTTCTTGCTTGCCAACATTTTGTTCAGAGACTTCAATTTTTTCAAAAGCACTATTTGCATTTGCAGGATTAAATAATGCATGCAGGGCATCTTCGTGTTTATCATTATACTCGTTAATAGTTTTAACAGCCTGTGATTGAGTATCTTCGTTGCGTGCGACACCTAATGCCACATCAACAGCGTATGAGATTGCACCTTCATCCTCGCGAATCTCAATCACTTTGTCTTCACTATGCAGAGTTTCATTTTCAGAACCAACAAAATTTCCAGGTTCAGGAGCTACAATATTGTTTTGCTTCAACCACTGAACTTGCATCTGCAATTTCTTAATTTCGTCCTTGTACCTATCTAAAGACTCAGGCTGAATATTATCAACATTACTAACAACCAGATTATTTCCAGAATCAGATCCTTCAATATGCATTTTCAGCTTACTCATCTCAACTCTACTAGCATTGAGCTCCTTTCTCTGATTCTCCAATGACTGCTTTAAGACTTGGACCTAAAAGTAAAAATTAGTATTCATAAAAGAAAATATGAGTATTGTTTGACAGCATCTTCTAGAAGTAAATAGGAACTACCAGGTTCTCTTTGTCTTTGAGATCTTTTTGCAGTGCGTCCAAGGATTTAGTTAATGCTCCTATTTGACCATCTGCCAAATCTTTGTCCTTCAACAAGCTTTCCTTTTCTTGATTCAGCCTCTGATTTGCTTTCAGCAATGTTTCATTTTCTCGAACATGGGTAATTTTTCCCTGTATATTCATTCATGCATGATTCAACATAAACGGTAATTTGAAATCAATATTACAGGATTAGTTTGGTCTACATATTTACGAACATATTTAAAGAACTATTAAAAATCAATTCAAGTCAATCAATTCCTCCACATTATAAAGAAGTTTCATTTATTAAGCAGAAAGGAAACTTTTATTGCAATGGAAATAATTTTGACGAAACTAATTTTCTTCGAATAGAAAAAGCATAAAAGATAACATGTAGAATACGAGGATAAGAAATCCACAAAATAAAAACAATCCATACACTAGGCAATGCTAGAACAGATAGTTTAGTCTCAGAACAATAATAACACATCACAGAAAGATCTGAAGCCTTACAAGTTACAAGGACTTCTGTACCAAAAAGTTTTAAAAACAGGAACATCACCAGTGTGCCTCTGATGCTGAACCTTTCCCGGATGTATAAAAAATGCAATGCTGGGAATTAAAGCCAGTCCAATGTGGACGCTGAAGCACTCACTAGGTTCTTTGTTGTTATTAGAACTAAAAAGGTCGATTAACAATTAGTGGGAAGTACTGTAAAGTTTAACGTGCACATGGACGTCGGTGCAATACTTTCACTTCTTCCAAAAGACGTCTCCTCCATGAAGGAAGGCAATTTTGTTTTCGCTCCGATTACTGATATTTCTATTAATTAATGTAGCAAATAACATAAAATGTGAAAAACATGTCTTCATCTTCTAGAAGCTTAAGAAACTCACTAACATAAAATGATTATTGAACTAAAGAGGCCGATTGTTTAAAGTGGACAGTGAACTCAGTGTATGCTTTCACTTCAGTAAGAATATTTTTCTATTTGCAGGGTTGTTTCTCCTGTTACTATCTCTATGTAGAATTTTTTCTTCTTCTTGGACATCTGTAGAAGATCAGCACATAATTTATTATTCTAGCATGGATTTACAGAGGGATAGGAGAGCTCTTTGAGCTGGTGAATTTTCTTGTTTCTATAATTTTGTTTTACCTTTTTTGGTTGCTGTAGGAGGAATTCTTATCCTCGTGTAATGTATTGCTCTTCTATCTACAGTTTCCTATACTAAAGAAAAGATTTCAATTATTGTATTGTACATGCTCCATCAATCATCATCAAAAACCTTACGAGAAAAATGTAACAATAGCTGAAGGAAAAAGCATATGTAAAACATATGTATGCACAATACAAGACATAAAAACCCCACAAAACGGTATGATTAAGAAGCCAAGTGTAGCGAAGACAAAAAATAAATAAACAACCAGTCCATTTCTTTAGGTACTACTCAATGAGCAACTTGCCTACACCATGAATTAAATAATCACCTCAGCAGCCTCTGAAGTTAATGAAAGATATTGATAATAATATTGACGCAAGGTATCTGGTATTAATTCATGTGTATTCTGCCATATGTCCAAGTTCTGGTCTGTAACCTGTGATTGCAGATTAAAGATTGCATAACTTTAGAACCAGAATGGCGAGGGCAATATAATGCGATGTGATATATAATAATAAATAAACCTGTCTAGAGTATATAATACATCGAAAGTCATAATGGATCTATGCATATTACGGAGGGAACTTACTTCCATTTGCATTTCAGCACAAGAGCTATGCATCATGCCACTCCCAAAATAAATTAGTAAAACAGCATAACTTCCTTTAAACGTTCCAGATATGACTTCTTTTTCTTTATATTTGATTGGTTCAAGTTCCATACATAAAGCTACTACGGCCACTACCAGGAGAATATTTTTATTTATTTCCCAAATGATAAATAAATCAAGCAAAGGCAAAAGCAAAAGCAAAAATGCCAAAACTCACGAAATTATACAACAAAAGTGCATCTCAAAAAAGTTAAGAAGAAAGGAGACATTACTTTCTTTTAAATATGGAAAAAAACTATTCTCATGCTGTATGTCTTTCCTCCTATACACCTTTCGATAATTGTGTTATTTTTTTTCTTTTCTTTTCATTTTATTTTTCAGGTGATGGAGTCCACAAGTTTATCTATATGACATGAGATAATTTATCTCCTTTAACATAAAATTAAGAAAACCCTTTGAATATATATCATTACTTTCTTTTAAATATATATAGGAAATGTTCACCAAATTATTATTTTTTTGCAGCAAATGATTATAATTATGTATTATTTTTTTCTCTTCTCCACATTAGTTGATAATTTTTGAAAAAAAATAATTTTAAAATTATAACTATATACTTACAGAAATACATAATTATAATCTATTGCTAAATAAAATTTGCAGCAAGAAAAAAGACATATATATATATATATAGAAAGAAGAAAAACATAAGAAAAGAAATTGCAAAATTCACAGAAATAGAAAATAAAGAAAAAGGGGCCAATAGAGTCCGTGTTTCGTACCTCTTCATAAAATGTCATGGCAGTGAGACGGTAGCCAGCTGTAAGTAAATAATCCTTCACAGCACAATTAAGATGTCGACGTTCAGTATCATTTAGTGGACCCAAACAAGAAAATGAAGCATTCCTTTTTTCTTTTCGAATCGGTAGCTCACCATTCACCGAAACATCTCCACTTGACTGTGCAGCTGCTTGCAGAACAGAAGCATGCAATAAACAATAATATAGTAAACCATGCGAGTTTGGAAAATTTATTAATTAAGCTAGCGAGAAAAAAAAGTCCAAGACCATAATATAAGACATCCTCCTAAACAGAGGAATATAAAAGTTTAAAGGAGCATGATGAATTATTCTTTATAAAAGAGGAATATATAGGAATTATATGTCATAAATGCGGATATATATAGGAATTATCCTTTAACACATCGTTTTGAGTTAAAAAATTAAAAAAATTATAATGAAAAAAATTATTATAACTCTGAAATATATTATAATTACAACAATATCTTGATTTCCTTACCAAAACAAAAACGACATCATTTTGCATTCAACGTAGATAACTTATCTACATTAATCGCAGAAAAAGTGAACTCATATATACATATAAATTATAATTATAAAAATATCTTGATTTCCGTCACAAAACGACGTTGTCTTGGACAACGTAGATAATTTATCTACATGAACTGCAGAAAAAACAAACCTTATAAGTATACTATAATATCTTGTTTTTTGTCCCAAAACGAAAAAGGAGATAACTTTTTTATAATTATAATTTATTTCAGAGTTATAATAATTTTTTTTATTATAATTTTTTAATTCAATACAATGTGGTTTTGGAAGTGATGATAACTAACCGTAGAAATATTAAAGTCATACTCATACATATAATATAATATAAAGGAGCTGCTACTCTGATACATTATATTTATCCACATTGAAAAATTAATATATACCATGATATAGTTGATTTTTGGTTTGCAATTCAGATTTGAGTTTTGAGATGTCTTCTTGTGCCAAACGCAGTTCGTAATCAGTAATGGCTAACTTTTCTTCGGCTTCATCTTTCTGTTGAAGCAAAGTTTGAGGATCTGCGGCTGCAAATGGAAATTGCAATTACAATTACAATAAATAAATAAAAGAGAGAGAGAGAAATGGAGAATTGAATAATAGATAGATAGAGAATAGAGAAGGAGAGGGAGAGAGAGAGAGACTGACTTGGGAGAGAGAGAGAGTTGAAGCGAGAGATTTGATTGGGAGGGAAACGAGAGGGATCGGAGAAGTATTGTTGGAGGCGAATGGCCTGATCGTGGCGTCCATCTTCTTGAAGCTCGTGAAGAAGTTCAAATGCGGTAAGAATGTAGTTCTCTTCCAACAGAAAGTTCACGACGCAATTGTATAAGGAACATCGCTCCACATCCATTCTTCCACAGATCTGATTTTCTCATTCTCATTCTCATTCAACTTCAACAAACCATCCATTTTCCAATTTCAATTGGAATTCCGCGCTTTTCGCTCTTCTCTCTCTCTTTTATGTTATGTCCATCACAGTATATAATTTATTGAATATTGTTGTAAGGTAATTTTTTAAGGGAAAACTTTAGTAATATTCTCACACTTAAGACACATTTCACCTTGCATGCATGACCTTTATTAATTGTCAAATTTATTTAACCAACAACACGCTTATATGTTTGTTTAACTATTTATAGTAGTTAAGTATATGTAAATTCAATATTTAAAACTGAATCAAATAATCCAGTTAAACCAAGCCATGAATAAACATAAACATTAACATATTTATTTAGCCTATAACAACGGAAACTAAAGAACTGAGAACATATCAGAGCCCAAAGCAATGGAATTTATCTGCCAATACTACTGTTCTTCATATGAGCGATTTCATAGCGAGGTATTGAATGTTGAATGTTGAAAGTTGAAACATCTAGTGCCAAAATCAACGATATTAATAAAGAAAGAGTAAGGACAGAACTGCAATCACTCCCGTGTGTAAAAGGAAGATGGAAGCATGTTGAAGTCCCAAGTCTGGGTAACATACCCACAAGGCCCCAAGCAACATTTTTGCCATTGATGGTCATTCTTCTGATTACTCCCACAAGCCTAACAAACCAAAATCCCCGACAAGCACAATAACCAACTAAATTATGATAATTTTACAGTGTTTTAATGGAATAGCATAAATTTTAAGAGTAATTTTTTAGGCCATACAATTGCAATAAGAAACCACAAGTCACAAACAAGCATTTGAAATTGCATTTGTCACATAAATTTTGAAATGATAACATATTTAAAACAAAATAAAATAAAATCGCTGTTTTTGTCAACAATCAGCACTAGTATTAAAAAAAAAAAAAAAACCACTGCCCCGTGAAATCCGACTAATGAGTGTGGGGTGGAAAAAATTCTTATACGCAACCTTACCCTTACATAATTGCAAAAAGACTGTTTCCTGAATTCGAATCCCATGACCTTTTAATCATGAAAGAACAATTTTACCACTGTTCCGGGTTCGCCCTTTTAGTCGGCACTAGTATTACTGCTGATAAAATTCAATGATAGTAAGAAGCAAGTGAGGGCATAGGCATACCATACCACACAAGGACAAGGACTAGCATATCAGAAAATTAAACCTGGCAGTAAAGAAAATTAAATGTCTTCTTTTATATGAGACTCGGTCTTTTATTATGGAAGGTTTACATATCAAACAAGAGAGTTAGCGACCAAAAAATATCCACACAAAAAAAAAGGAAAAAAAGTAAGAGGAAAAGATTCAATGTATTATACACTCAGAAAAACCAAAAAAAAAACATTCAAAGTCATCGTAGAACTTCTACCAAAACTGTACCATGCAGATAATTAAAATCACTGTGGCTGTAATGTTTCTGTCTGCTGCTTGTGGTTATCCACATGCAACTGAGCAAGAGCCTCCGACATCGGGTCTGTTGTAGCTTTTGCCATTGTTTTGTATTTAGAAGGTAATGTGGGAGGTGGGGGCTGAGATTTGTATATCTGAACACGAGCAAGGTCATCATCAAGTTCATTTTCATACTCGGGAGATTCCCTGGGAGTAATAGATACATTCTGAGACTGAGATTGATTATGCATTTGATAAATATCCATTTCTTTTTGCTGACTTCCATTGTAAGGTACATGAACAACCGATGCAATTGCATTGTTAGTTAAGTAATTCTGAGAAGTAAAATCATGAGCAAAAGGAGACCTGGCTCCCACCTCAGGATTGTGAGCTACATGACAATTCATTAAGGAAGCATTAAGATTCAATGAAGCTTGGCTAGCTGCACTTATAGGCAAACTATTGGGAGGCATGTTTCCAATAGGCACAAGGTATACCGGGCAAGGTTGATTAGCATGATAAACCATATGCTGCAATGGACGTGGTTGCTGGTAAATGTGCTGCAGAGATGGTACTGGCAACAGACCACTCGGGTGAAGTGGTAAAAAGTGTGTAGCAGCTTGCACAAACTGCAAATGTGGCCTCTCCACTTGATTAAACTGTGGACATGAAGTATACCCTATATCCACATTGGTGTTATTCGCTATGAAACCCGACGAAATGTAAGGGATTTTACTTTCAACTTCAATGGACTCAGCATTGACTCTAGCCTCCGAAACATGAACCACAGGTTCTTGGTAAGATATATTCTGCTGAGGAGACATAACACTTGAAACAGTATTATCACTGAAACAAAAAAAAAAACAAAAAAACCATTAACCAAAACAAAAAAAAGGCATTATCAATTCATCTACTAGAGCACAGTAATTGGACATTAAAATCTGTTCAGGACCCACCTTCATGGCTCAATATATTTGGGCCAGCCTACAAAGGCCCAGTAAGGGGTCACACCTTGCTTCCCCATAGTATGAGCATATGGACCTCACAATAGAGGATTCCTTACTCCTTGCACAGCTCACCCATAGTGCACTTTCAGATGTACAATTCTTCACACGAACTCAGTGTGAAGAATGGCCAAAACAGTTTGGCTCACTCTCTCTCGTATCATTTCCCTAACACATGAGGAAGATATCATGCATTCATCACTTATCGTGCCCTTTCACATTCCCCTCTCCTTGGGCTTTGGTTCATACCAAAGCTACTTTGAGCACTTATAGTTATACACATAGGAGATGTTTTTTAAGAGATTTCTTTTAGGATGACCACTAAAGTTGAGATGGGCTTTTTTACTTGATCATATTTGGTAAGTTGTTTTAAAAAATTTGTCCATCATTCGAATTTGCATAACAATTTCAGTTTGTGTGAAAAATTAAAAAAATTTGTCATTTCAGAATACCACCCAGCCCCATCAAACCAAAAAGTAAGAAAAAAAAGCAATAGACACAAATATCTCATCTCAAAAAAAAGTGACAAAAAAAAACTGAAAAGAAAGTCTTCTTTGTATTTAGTCAAGGGTTGGTTTGGTAATTTCATCCCATTTTTTCCTCAATATTTTACCTTCAACCAAAAATAAACTCAGAAAATTTATCCCAATTTTTTTGGTAATATTTTAGCCTACTAAACAATTTTTTTTTAACTTTCCTACCACATTTCTAATAATTGTATTTATCTGGTAAAAAAAATTCTCTCCTCTACCAAATGCCGCCATAGTTCACCTCGTGAGGTGATATAGATTCTATTGCACCGACGCCGACGCGACACTTAATTTTAAAAAATATTAGATTTCGACATATTAAAACACGTTTTGATATTAAATAATATTTTTAATTCATATAATGTATATTATATTTAATATTCAATAATTTAAAAAAAAAATAAAACTAAACTTATAATACCCATCAATCTTAACACGTAAGATATAACAAATATTTATATTAAACTCAATAAATACAATGGTAATCACAATCCAACCAATCTAATAATTGGAACTAAAAACGCAGTTCAATCTTTGAAACCTTTGTTTAAGTCTCTACCATAAGTGTTGAAGTTTCAAGATGTCATGGAGTGCCATAATATATAGACCTAACTCTAACTCAATATCAGCTCAAAAATAATCTTCACTAAAAACTTGGCAATAAAGTGATAAATGGTAATGAAAAAATCTAAATAGGCTTAGCAAAAAGACTCGCTCAATTTCTCAAGGCCTAGTAATACAAAATAAAGTGTACCTTGGAATTGTATCGGAAGAGGTGAACTTGTCTTCAAAGTGAGCTCTTACAGGAGGCAAATTGGTGAAGGAAGATGAAGAGGAAGTTGACCCAAAAGAGGAACTTGTCTCCAAAACGATGGATTCAGGGGCAGAAGAGACAAAGTGGTTAGGTTCACCCTCCTCCGCACCGTTTTGCATAATCTTAGCACTCTTGAGGGCATCGAAGAACCAAGACTCCGTTTTCGGGTGGCGAATAACGGGTCGACCCGATTCGGGGAAAACAAAGAGTCTGATGCGTGAGGGAGAAGGGGAAGAAGAGGCGAGGCGGTTGTGCTCGTCGATGAGGATGTGGAGATCTTCATCGGAGGCGAGTGAGATAAGCGAGTCGAGGTCGAGATGGGGAAGCTGGTACTTGAGAGTGAAAGGGAAGTTTATGGAGAGAGTTGAAGAGAGGTGCGAAATCAAAGAGGAGAGTGTGGTGACGGCGCGGCGCTCGATTGAAACGATGCGGGTTTCTCCGCCGGCGTAGCAGAGAGAGTTGGTGCGTGGACGAGGGAGTATGTAGCCGCCGTAGCTGCACATGAGGCGGAGCTTGGCGGCGGAGGCGGTGGCTTGTGACGGTGGTGTTTCCATTGCGTTAGCGTCGGAACTGAAAATGGAATTTAGGGAGTAGCGACGTTAACGTTAACGTTAGCGTTATGTTTATGGTTTGGTTGAGTACTAGAAATGGAAGGTGTTGGACTTAGCCACTTGCAGCATAACATGGGCTACCACACCAAGTTTTTGTTTTAGGATTTTATAATGAGGTAGGATCCTTAGACACTGGTGTCAAATTTGAAGTTTGACACTTTATCTGAAGGTCGTTAGATCAAAAAAGATCAATGGTGTCACATGCTTACAAATGAGAGTCGTTGATCTTTTTTGATCTAACGGCTCTCAGATGAGGTGTCGAACTTCAAATTTGACACTAGTGTCAAAAGGATCCTACCTCTTTTATAATTATAGATTCAACCTTAGAATTCTCCTACACACCATTTGATTTCCGTGCTGACATGAGTTTTATATATAATTTTTTCTAACACATGGCTCACACATGCTTTTTATCTTTACAACATGAGAATTGAATTCTCATTCAACATGAGAAAATCAAATCCCTTTGTTTTAATATACAATTTTTTTACGTCATTAGAAAATAAAGAGTAAATATTATTTTTGGTCCTCAACAAATTTTACAATGTCTGCTTTAGTCTCTAGCAAATAAAAAGGCCAATTGTGGTTCCTAAGAAATTCAAAATGGATCCATTTTAATTCTTTTAAGGACTAATATGGATCTTTTTTAAATTTGTGAGGGCTCACGATATCAACTAAATGAATCCATTTTGAATTTCTTAGGGACCACGATGAGCCTTTTTATTTGCTAGGAACTGAAACGGGCATCGTAAAATTTGCTGAGAACCAAAAAAAGTATTTACTCACAAATAAATTGCTTAAATTTGATATTACAATTTTAATTAACTTCTATGGTGAAAAATATAAATAAATTAGAAAGAGTCAACCCAGTTTGATCATTTATATTTTAAATGCAAATGTTACCTATAGACTCAGTCGGGATATTAAATTCAACCAATGAATTATTGGTTTAATTGCATGAATCAAATATATATAATAAAATATAATAAATATAAAATTAAAAGTATTTTAACCAATACCTAGATCTGGTTTAGTGGTTAGTCTTATAAGATAATTTATGTAGTCTAAATTCGAATCTTATTATTGATTTTTTTTCAAATATTTTGTCTAAAATTAATTATTCAGGACTAGTTCACTGGTTTAATATCAGATCAAATATAAGATCGTCCAATATCTCAATCGGTTCGGTTAGAGGTATGTCGGTCGAATTTTTTTAACACTGTTTAAATGGGACAAATTTTTGATACATCAGATATAGCCAACTTGGTATATCTTTTTTTCACATATAAAAAAAATTCATCACTTTTGAAGAAAAAAATCTGCCACATTAAAAAAGTTTTTTCATTTTAAAAAAGGGAAATATTACTCTCCTTTTGCATAAGATTACTTCTCTCCTACTCTTTCACTTTGATTTCCGCACCTCACTTTTTCCTTTTTTTTCTTTTTTTTTTGTAATGGTGAGACCCACACATTTTATCTCTACAACATAAGATACCTATCTTATGTTGAAGGAGAATAATAAAACCCTTTAAAAAAAGATATACTTAATTGGATAAATCTAATGCACCATAAATTTATTCATTTAAATAACAACCGCTGAGAAAGAGTTTAACTAAAGCAAACACAAAAGGAGGAAGAAAAATACAAAGACTTCGTCTTCTGGAGCGTTCTCAATCTAGAGTTTTGTTGATAGAAAAGTTTACACGCCCTCAAAAGAATACAAAATTAGACTCTTCTTGAACATTTTAATTCTAAGTTTTGTTGTTTAAAAAATTATACTTTATTATTTAAGATTTTCCAAAATATTAGTAAATTTTAGATTTGACTAAATATTAAATGTATTTTTCATTAGTATATAATTATTAACTTAATTTATCAAGTACTTTTTGAAGAAGAAAAAACAAATGATTTTTTTTCAGTACTAAAGTTACAATTTGATATTAAACGGTTTTTTTTTTTTTCTAATTTAGTTTGTACAATGTATTGATAAAATTTATTAATACAATTAGAAACTAAAGATTAATTTTGGTTACAATCGAAAAGTCATTAATTGATAAATCTTTAGAATTTTCTAAATTTATTATGTCTAGGGGGAAAAATAAAATAAAACTAACGAATGATTCGTAAGATTTTTTTTAATATTTTCGTGTCAATTAAAAAACTATGAATAAGTGTGTACCATATCTATAAATTAAAAATATCAATTTAAAATATAAATAAAAAATATATTTAAGTATACAAAAAATTCATATTCCTAAATAAATATGAATAAGTCTTCAATGCAAATTATGTTGTCGTCTACAAAAACGGGTTCTGAAAACATGGAAGAGAGGAGCCAAAAGTGAAAAACTTAGATAATAGACTTGAATGTGCATAATTGCATTTTAATAACAATACATGGAAATTAAAATAATCCTGAAGGCTATAAAATATTTAAATATTAATAAGAAAAGTCAAGGAAATATTAGCTCACTATATACGTGAGATTTTATAAGAGTTATGTTGTAGGAAAACTGATTGTGTAATGTTATAGAGATTCGTTTTACGTGTCATAATTTTCTTTTTTCTTTTTTCTTCAAAAAATGTGGGTCTCACAAAATGTTGTGTGTGTAAGAAAGTTTGTTGTATCATGTTAAATGACAAATATAAACCTCATATACGTGATTAGACAGAATTGATAAGGAGGTGAGGACCCACGCCCTGTCTCTCTGTCATGCAAAATGAAGAAAAAATAGCCATTGCATGTTCGCAAAAGAGATATAGGAAAAATTACAAATAATATCCATCAAGATGAGCTACTAGTCAAGGAACGCGTAAGAGGTTCACATAATAATTGTAACTTGGAAGCTAAACCAAACCAAATAACATTTGAGATAGGACACTTAAGATGGTTAAATTATTTTATAGATACTATAGATTTATTAAATTTTTAAATAGGTTTTACAACTTATAAGTATTCAAGTTTAAGTGGTGGAGTGCTATATCAATTAAGAAAATAAGAATTATATAAATTATAAACTCATTATATTAAGATTTTAGGTCATGACAGGTTTATTATTATAATTTTATACTTAACCAATTGATGGGGTTTCTCTTGCATGAATTTTTCTAATAGTTTAACATTAATATTAAAAAAAAAATCTACCTTTCACTAACCGAATTAGAATTTAGAGAAAAGATAAACTTACGACCTATTTTCGTTACAATCTCTTACAATCATATCTTAAACGTTGATTTTCATTAATATAAAGGTTATTTTTATTATGAATAAATAAATATCACTCAATAAATTATAATCGTTAAATTGACAGAAATTAACGATTAAGATATGGTCGTAAGAAATTATAAATGAAAATAGGTTATAAATATAACATTTCTCAAAAAATTTATGAGAAAAGTATTTCTCCAATCATCGGAGATAAAATTATATCCAGTGAGCTCAAAATGAAATCATTTTGGTGTTATAAGATTAAAAAATTATAATGATAAAGACTAATATAACTCTGCAATATATTATAATTACAAAATACCTTAATTTTCGTCCTGAAACGATATCGTTTCGAATTCATTGAAAATAAGAGAAATTTTTTATCCAAAATTTATTATCACTTATTGAAAACAACAATCCCCTTTCAAATTCAATATTTATTTACTTACTACTAGAAATACAGCACATTTAATCTAACATTAATATATATATAAATATCTTTGAAAAAAGCGAAAAAGAAGCATCCCATGAATGGTGGCTAAAGTAAAGGGAGTGTTATTGGGGTTCCTCATTCGTTTTGCACACGCAAATGGAAGCGTTGGTCAATATTCGCAAAAACTTTACCCTCGTGAGTCTTCAAAATTACAAATATAGCATGTACAGGACATGGGTAGAGTGTGGCTATAAAAGGAGGAACAAAGAGGGGTTGTGAAGTAGCAAAAGAAAAACATTACAAGAAGCGGGGAATGGGAGATTGGAGCTATCAGAAGTTGTGGGAATGGGCGGTCTGGGATGAAATTTAAAAATGAATGTTGAGTTTCATTATCATCAGTATAGTATTCTTCTTCTTCCCAGGTCCGCCCATTCCAATAATTTCTGGTGATTCCTCCCTTTCCCCTTTGCTTTGCTTTCTATATATATATATATATTAACAACATGATATATATATGATTGTTCCCAACACAATCCTGTCCATTTCACAGGTATACCTAATATAGTTTTATTATTATTTTGTATGTATTTGATGTTTATTGAATGGGTAGGTTTTTTTTGGATGATTGATTCTATATTATGTTACTGTGTTGATGCTATCTGTTTTATTTGATGATGGATATGGCGGATCTGGTGGTCCTTTCCTCTTACTTTGCTCTTCACTTCATGGAGTAGCTGGATTTGGATACATACTTTGTGACTTTACTCACCAAACCCCTGATCGAACAGGCGATGACTGTTTAGAGCTGAATCACATTTTTTTTTTTAAAAAATATATATATACACAAATACAAATGAAAATTTATACTAGAGGGATTATTTCAAGAGGAAGGATATTATAACTATCAAAAATTTTCAGTATCAACTTACTACCTATCTAATCACCATTAGATTAACATTTTCTCTCTCTTCAAAAACTTTTTAACATTCTTTCTTTGATCCAATGGTGATGTGATGGGTAGTAAGTTAGTAGTGAAAATTTTTTGTAGTTAGAATATCTTCACTCTTATTTTAAAGGATTTTATAGATGTCATGTTGTAGGAAATTTGTACTGTCATGTTACTCTCACAAAAAAAATAGTCCCACCTTATTTTCTTTTTTCTTTTTGAGTGAGACCCACATCAAATGTATTAGAGTAACATGACACTAAAAGTTTCCTACAACATTACATATATAAAATCATATTTTAAATTAACGTATCTTATATCACCCAATAATTATATGAAATTGTTAAATTATAATTATTTATTATTTTCATTAGTTATATATTTTAAAGTATATATGTCATGTTAATATTAATATTATATAT